TAACGAGGTACTGAAAGTTAAAGTCAATAATTGGTTTACTTAAAAAAAAAAATGTGTTCCAAGCAACAAAGACTGACTGCCTGCTGAAAGTCGGGGATTCAGAGAACAATAGGGTTAATAACAGGCATGGCTTAAAAAGTGGATTTCTGGGTAAGGTGGGAGTTTTTGAGAACAACAGGGGTTAGGGTTTGAGAAGTTAGGGCTAGGTGTTGAAAGTAAAACTTAAATGTTCTGTTGGTGAGAATTCGGTTAAATGTAATAAACGTTAATTTTGTTTTTGTTTCTAACTTTTGTGTATGTTCTTCTTTGGGGGGGGGGAGCAAGGGAAGAACTTGGCCCCAGCCAAAGCTTAGTGACAAGGTACCCGGACTCGATATTTGTCTAAATTTTACTACCCATGCATCCCTAATGTATATATATTAAAGAGTAGTTAATACTATTTGAGATGTGCATTTCTTATTTGATATGAATAAATTATCATAACTAAACAGCTCATAAGCAAGATTCAGGTTAACAGTGAATGTTTAAATAAAAAATTTTATAGCAGCCTGTTAACCACACTTCCTACATTGTTTGTCATCACAAATTATAAGTTAAAGTTATTCCACATGAAAACTGCGCATCAATTAACTGAGTACCAACAATATTCAAAGGCTGGTTTAGTCGACAAACTGAGAAAGCCTGAATCAACAAGAATAAAACATTATATTCTATTATTCACTCACACCAGAAGAAAGGATACAGTTTTTAAGTAAAAATGAAACATACCAAAACTGTATAGGCTTCTTGATTTGCAGATCCAGCAAATTTCAGTCCCAGACATAAACACGCTCCGGCAATAATGTTGGAGTAAGCTTGACTGCATAAATCATACAGACTATTAGAATACAACTTTCAAAATGAAAACATATACATACATGTTAGCATATTCTTGACTGATTTTTGTATTACTGAAAGAGAGTTTAAAACAATATCTATATATATACATAATTGAGGGTGGTTGATAATATCAGATTTCTATTTCTATGTCTTTAGGAGTAACTATCATATCAATAACTGACTACAGACAGTGAATAGTAGTAGGATTTGAAATATTATAGGTTATAGCACCCAGGACCTGACCCCTTATTTAATCTGTAGTTTGCTTTCTAGTTTTGCATTTGTTGTTTTGGTGATATCTGATAGATTGAATATCCACAATGCTTTTGGGTGTTGTGGTTTCAGACATTTTCATTTTAGAATTATACCATTTATATAAATGGTATAATTTTACATTGTTTTGTTACAGATTTGCTACCACTGTCATGTACTTGTTGATGCATACATCTGTAATAAAAATGTTGTATTTTTGCATACATAATAACATCTAGATCACATTACATACATAACTAGATAGAAAGAAAGATACAGTCGGTGATAACACGGATAACAACAACATTACAGGTTATAGTATGTATTTAAATAAAAAGAAATATTCATATTTCAAACTTTATAATTTATCTGTTTATTCCTAACATCTTTAAAAGCTGATTCAAGTAAATTATTGTGTGCAGAATGAGACCAAACAGAAAACATCTACACATGTACAATACATTCAACTAATAACAAAATGTATTTCTTTTTTATACACGTAACTCACAAAACAATCATTTTTAACATCAACATTCAATATGTCACATTGATAGATTGTTTAGGCAGAGTATTCATGACGAAACTTTGTAGAATGGACGGCAACTGCATGTTGTAGAAATACAAGTGTAGAAGATGACATTTCAAAAGTCTTCCATCTTTTGTCTTCAGGTCAATGTGTGTGTGGTGTTTTGTCGGTCTTTATAGCATTCTGGTGGATTGTGGAGAGCGTGTTATGATTGGTTGGTTTATCCCTGCCTCTGATTGGAGAAGAGATTTCCTGTAGATTCAACCAATGTTAGCTACAGGTTACTCACCTCTAATCTGGAATCTTTGTTTAGCGAAGGTTTAATTGTGTTAATATAAAAATGATTCTTTAAATTTTCTTGTCTTCCAAAATTTGTCTGTGTTGATAATTCTAGTTTTTTCCCAGTTTATTTTGTGTCCAGTTGACATGGTGTGTTCTATAATGGCTGAATTTTGTGTTTTCATGGGTCTTGTACTGTCTTTATGTTCTTATATTGTTGTCACGAGTCTCCTTCCCATTTTTCCAATGTATGTTTCATTGCAGGAACATGGAATTTCATAAACGACATTATTGATTTTCTCATTGGTAGGTTGCTGATTGTTTTTTACGAGAATGGACCTCAATATCAACAGCAGTTTGTTTATATTGTTCCAACTTTATCCATATTTCTTAAGCCATAGTAAATACCTAGACATAACATTTGACAAGAACCTAAAAATCTTTAATTACTGTGAAATAACATATGTCAAAAATAACTTGTAAGGAATGCTTTGCATGGGCAATAACCAATATTTTTTTAATATGAAATTTACCTTGTTGATTCGTAGTCTATGTCACTATTTCTTTCCCCAGACACAAAGGCATGTTTCAACACAATCTGAGAGTAAAACAAATACAACTAATTCAATACCAAGGACACTTCTAAGCCGAGGTAAGTTCTACCAACATTAATGGTTGTACTGTGTTTCATGATCCCTTATTTCTTATTTCCATAAGCAATCTTTATCTACATTATATGATGTAAGTATAAAAAAAAAATATCAAACTAAAACTGTCTACATTATGTAATGAAAATATATAACAAATAAATTAAGCCATAATTTTCAACAGTTATCTGATCACAAATAAATATGAAGCTATATTTGCCTACAGAATGTCATGTAATCATAATACATAGTTATAACTGTGTACATTAAGTAAAGTAATTATAAAACATCAATAAATCTAACTATAATTATCCAAAGTATGTAATGTAATAATACAACATATAATTGTCTACAGTACGTAATTATAAAACATTAACAAATCTAGCTATAATTACTTACAGTATGTAATGTATAATTGTAAAGCATTAATAAATGACAACAAATAGAATACTTGCCTCTGGAAGGTGAGACTCAACCCATGTTTTGGATGGAACAACTTCAGTCCACAAAATAAGTCCTTTACTGCAAGTCTAAAAACGTGATAGTTTATCTTCTGTGTAAGTTTGTATTAAAGTACAGTTAATAGTTTACCAAATGTTACCTAGTATAAAGAAACGGATAATAGAAACAATCAAATCTAACAACACAAATGCTTAGCCTTCTCATAGAATAAACGTTCAGCTTATTTTATCCACATTACAAACTTAGAACAAAGGAGGAAATCTTCAACAAAATACATCTCCACATTCCTCCAATTTAAAATCACACTCTCTGTAGATAATGGTCATTAAATAGCAAAGTCAGGAGTCAATTTTAACTGTTGTCTGGTCATTCACGGACACCTAGTATCCTATCAGGCTACTGTGAATAGTGGTTTGATTTGTTCATTGGACAACCTCAAAAAAATCTATTTAGTGTAAGTACCTTGGAAGGGCTTAATGAAAGTCAGTGTCATGACCTTTTACAGAATTACGTTTACAATTTAATTAAACAACATTATTATCAGCACATGTCAATGAACTTGGCATCAAAACACAGTTAATAATTCAAATCTTAATATAAGTTTTAATTTCTTAATTCAAAAAGAAACATTTGAAAAATTATGTAATATTCATTCTAGTGTGCCACATGTGTGTCTGCACCCTCAATTACCCATTATAAAATGTTCTCCCCCTCCCTGAAATGATCTACTGAATTTAGGATAATGTACAGTTGTAGTTTAAACTTTTCTAATACATGATGAAATTTTTATAACATCCTATCTTATTATTTTACTAAGATATATACCAGAAAGTCAAATTCACTTACCACACCCTCCAAATGTTAATAATTCTCTGAAGTATTAAATGAAGCTCTTGAATTATTTATAATCAATAGAAATGGAAATTTTGAAATTTCTGAATTCATTATTAACCTACATGTCCTCTCAACAGTATACAATATATTTAGTGTCAATTTCCTTTTGGCCATCCACATGTTCACAATAACCAGTGAAAGAAATTATTGTAAGCAAGTTATAGTTTAGTTAGTTAAACACACCACTTCGATTTTTGATACCTCACTACTATAAAGGCTTGGTTTGGTCTGATATTTCATTGATGGTAGTGTCCAAGGTCACTGATGAGGAGTGGAATTCCCCAAAACTAGTCTGGCTCACAGACACACTCCCAATGAAAGAATAGACCATTCCAAGCTTTTACTTGTTGTTAAACAATTGTTTAAACAACTCTATTCAAGTTATAGTTTAGTTAGAAAGCCAGTAAAATTATAATATTTATTGTGTCTAAGTTTCCAGTATAAATAAATAAAATATAGTAATGTAATAAACAAAGATCCCTTCAAAATGTAGAGGAAACTTTTTTCGAGACTTTGATGCAAAAAAGTATAAGTACTAGATTTCTTGTTTGTTATGTGAATCTTTTATTTACTGTTATAAAAGTAACTAAAATGTAAAAAGTAAGAAATTATTGGGTTGGGTAAGAAAAATTAAATAAAACGATATTTAACAGCACAATCAAGCAAGAGTACACACGAGTTTAAGCACTGTTGTAATTGGATCATACTTGTAACTAATCTAAGGAGCAGCAAAGAAATAAATCTAAATGACTGGGAGATTTGAATTGTTTTAGCTTTGGGTGTAAAAATTAATAAATACATGCCAAGGCTTTTGACAAACCGAATATTCTGTTCAGGACCTGCCATAATAATTGCCAAACATTGTCAGCCTTTCACCAACTATATTTGACAATGCAATCATGATGAGAAAAAAAGGACTAGACATAGGTTCAATGTACAAAAAGTGTAGAGAATTCATGAATGCAATCACTGAGACCAAGAGACAGAAGCTGGAGAAGCCAGTCAATATGACAAAGTTTTATCCATTATATACAATAAAGTAACAGGTTCTGCCATCGTGGAGCAGTTCAATATATATGTCAAGTAGGAGAGATTACACAGTCAGACAATTTTTCTAATATCTAGACGAAATGAAAAAAAAAAAATAAAGGTTGCCATAGAGATGTGCAAAATTCTATTTTATATTTTAATTCAATTGAATGCTGTTAGGATAATTGAGATATTCACTTTAACTTTCCAACCATTCTATTTCTATTGAAAATTGTATGATTTAATTATGTCGAAGTTAGTGTTATCCAGAAAGTTGGAAGAGATACTTCTAACAACTGCTAAGATATGATTCTCCAGACATTCAAAGAACAGTGTGGTTTGAATATCTGCAGAGGAACACTGTCCATAACGTATAGGTTTTGCAAGTGACAGTGTTTATGTAATGCAGGATGTGAGAAATGGTGTGGCTGCTAAGTTGAAGGCAAATCAGCCAAAGCTTCAGATGGTGCGCACCATATGGCACATCACATAAAACTGGCCGCTAAGGCAGCCATCAAAGAAATAAAACTGTATGAAAAGGTGGATAAATTATCACTAGAACACAGGTAACACGAGATTATTATGGATGACTATTGAAGCTATGGGGTGAAGAGATTCATTCCAACAAGAACTGATGCTACCAGGTAGATCTGCCACAAACAAAGAGCACTGGACAATCTATCTTACAACTATAAAGCATTTTCACTGCAACTTTCTCAGCCTAATGAAGTTGTTGCTAGTATATTCTGACTACAGACTAGCAATGTAATGTTATTTATTCCAAATAAAAGACGATTCCAAAATCAGTACTTGGAGCAAGGTGAGAAGTACTGGTTTTTTGAATAACTTGCTGTCTTGAGAGATCATTGAGTTTGGGCACTTTCTCCTTGCCATTCTCCTTCATCTTTCAGCCATGTTCCAAAATGGAGCCCTGAAAATTTGTTATGTTCTTTATTTGGTTGCTGACATTGTCTGTTCATTGCAGAAACTCCTTGCTAAGTAAATTTTTAGATGTATATCAAATTTATCCTTCTATTCTGCTGTCATTCATACTTCAAAAAGTCACTCTGATCATTGACCTGTTATTTTTCATTGCAGGCTAAGTCCGAAACTGAGAAAAATCAGAAGTACTCCAGAGTTGCTCCATGACAGTGAAATCGTAGGTGGTCCCCTTGCTGATAATGTGATCAAAATATGTAAAGAGAAATTGCACGTGGTCCCCAAGCTGACAGTGTGATCAAAATATGCAGACAGCTTGGTTAGATGCCTTAAGAACAGGTTCTCAACATCTACCACAGGAGGAATTGTTGATACAGCTACAACAATCACAGACTTCAATATGAGAACCTTAAGAACAGGTTCTCAACATCTACCACAGGAGGAAATGTTGACACAGCTACAACAATCACAGACTTCAATATGAGAAGTTGGAAGGTGAGATTAGTTATCACAAACATATCGCAACCATTTAGTTTCATGAAATGTATTAAATATATCAATTTTTTATTGAAATTTTTCTTGACAGAATTTGGTGATACCAAGTTTGCTGGTTTGGTAGATTTCTTGGAGCTACTGCTGGATCCTTCAGCAGTGTTGAGGCTAAGTGAGCCACCATCATTGGCAGAGCATTCATGTACTAATTATTGTTTTTTTTCTAACAGCAGGTTACATTAGTGTTCATTTAAATAAGATAATTTGATCAACTTACAAACCACTTCTCTTCCTTTTTATTTGCAGTTTCAAACCTGTCAACAAGATTACTTGGAGTAACAACCACATAAAGTACAATACCAATTGTCCAAACATCATGACTCTGATAAGACTTGGTTCTCACCATCCCAGCTCATTCAGTAGAATGTGAAAGAGTGTTCAGTGTTACAAGTTATTCAAGAAGGATTGGAGTATCAGTATCCATACTAATACTTTCACCTGCCTAGCGAGGGTTGTATTGAAGTCTCCAGATGAGATCACTGGAACAAAGTGACATGGAGAAAAGGTGCCTCTTTCAGTTCCCAAATGAAATGAGGGATCAACAAAGATGACAGTGGAGAAAGCCAGAAGTCAACTTTGTGTATAATGATGATGATAAGTTCAGTGAATTGAATGATGATTCATTTTAATGTCAACATAATGTTTAGATACCACAGATGGTAATATATTACACATAATAATGTCATATGACTGTAGTAGTTGGAAATTTGACTATTGTATAAGTTTTAAAATCCATGTATCAATGCTGCACACACATGTTATTGCCAGGTAACCATCTATTTCCACAGGCCCAGCATGGCCAGATGGTTAGGGCACTCGACTCGCGGGTTCGATTCCCCGTCACACCAAACATGCTCTCCCTTTCAGCAGTGGGGGCATTATAATGTGACGGTCAATCCCATTATTCGTTGGTAAAAGAGTAGTCCAAGAGTTGGCGGTGGGTGGTGATGACTAGCTGCCTTCCCTCTAGTCTTACACTGCTAAATTAGGGATGGCTAGCGTAGATAGCCCTCGTGTAGCTTTGCGCGAAATTCAAAAACAAATAAATTATTTCCACATCCCACACTAAAGAATTGATGACCAATTAAAATAAAACATGTTTTATACTGTACTAGTGTTTGTATTGCATATTTTTGATAATTCTAGGTTGTGCACATATTTTCAATTGAAAAGTCACGACAACCCAATTCTTTAGAGCAGTGTTTTCCAAACTTTAAATAGCAGTAGCCCCCTAACTCAGCAAAGTTAAAATAATTTTTGCAAGTGCTAACAGCCAAATCAACATTTTCTTTAACAGTTTTTCAATAAATTTTTTTAAAGTAAAAAATGCCTGTAAAGAGTGGGTAAATAAAAGATGAAAAAAAACCTTTGAGAGAAAAGTGATAATTTTACTACGTTATTATCATCTCCAACTCTTCTGTTTCTTCTGTTGTTATTTTTTGGCTTTCCCACCAAAAGGCTGCACCCCCTGTTAGATATACAGTAACTGTAAGTTTAATGCAAGTATCATGACTTATATGGTTTAAGTATAGTATGAGTCTTAAATTTAATTATCTTTAGAAGTGATAATTTATCGCAGGTTTGTTTATGTAACTGTTTTCAAACCATATGTTATGTAGTTCAGTTGTTATGAATTGGTGATTGATGTATTATTGCATCATGATACTTAGTTTACTTATTTCATCAGTTAGACAGTCAAGACACCACAAAGCATGACTGACAATATAAAAGTATAAAAAAATGTGAAAATACAAGTTTATACAAAACATACTTAAGGCTTAATTTACATGTTTCATCAGTTACAAAATCAAGACACCACAAAGCATAATTGTCAATACAAAAGTATAAAAAAAGTGAAAATACATATTTAGACAAAACATATTTAAAGATTAGTTTACACCACAAAGCATGATTTCTTACCCTTAAAAGCAGAAAATCTGGTCTAACCATATCCAAGAGGTACTGAGTGTCAGGAGCTACCATCCACTCTGCTATAGCTCTAGGGAATAGCAAAGAAATAAATTCAGTTTACACTTCGTAATTACAATAATTAACACTACTACAACTGGTACTGACAGTAACTGACATTTCTATAACTGGTATTAATAGTAACTGACATTTCTATAATTGTATTGACAATAACTGAATCTACTATAAGTGGCAATGACAGTAACTGATACAACTATGACTGGTACCTCAATCTACTATAATGCACTGACAATAACTGACACTATTATAACTGATAGTTACTGACTATGATAATCACAACTAAACATGTTAGCAACAAAACCTACCATAGTTCTACTGACAAGAATATTCTCACCTGTTTCCAGTATTGAAAAACATCATTCCTAATGCTAGTGTTGCCCCAGGGCCTGTGACATCCACGTTGACACAGTCCCCTTCTCGGATCTGGTAACTAGGTGATCTGTATCTTTCCCTGTGGACACCTGTCTGAAGTAAAATTGGTTTAGCAGTTGGATAATGGAGATTGTTATGGTTATGAAGAAAACCTATCCACTTCCCATATTATGTCTATGGTCAACTTATCTTCGCAGATTATGGCTATGGTAAACTTGTCATCTTAACAGATTATGTCTATGGTAATCCTACCAACTTACGCAAGATTAAGGGTAAGGTAATCCTTCCAACTTACGCAAGATTAAGGGTAAGGTAATCCTTCCAACTTACGCAAGATTAAGGGTAAGGTAATCCTTCCAACTTACGCAAGATTACGGGTAAGGTAATCCTTCCAACTTACACAAAATTAAGGTAAACCTAACAACTTATCAGATTAAGTATATGGTAAACCTATCAACTTACCAGGTTATGTCTATGACCCCCAACCATGTAATGGTATAGATGGTCAGCCACTGGAAGATCTGACATTCCCACCATCTCAGTTCCTCTCTATGTAAAATTTAGACATCAATTACAGGAAAATATTACATTTCAACTGAGGAAATTCTAGCCAAAGTCTTATTTGGAAAAATAAAGTTTCACAGTTAAAAATTAATGAATAAGTTTATAGCACTATTTTAGACATACTAAAAAAAGTATTATTATTAACAGTTTACTTACAGACATATATTAACCCCATGTATTCAGATGGGTAAATTGTGCATTTCATGATCTTTTACAGAGTTACATTCAAAACTTAATTAAACAACTTTAAATCAGCATGCACTCATAAACTTGGCATTAAAACTTAGTTTATAATTCACATTTAAATAAGTTTTAATTTTTTCAATCTCAAAAAGAAATATTCAAACAAATTCCCAATATTCACTTTTCTGAATCATGTGACATTCTTTGCTCCAAATTGCACATTTTGATATTATTTCTACCATTATACAATCTCCCGAGTTTGGAACAAATTACATATTTTTATTAAAGATATCGCTAAGCCATAATGTAAGCTTACAGCTTTCAATCTTCGTGCTTTACTAAGGTATAAACATCAAAGTCAAACTCGCATGCCCATTTATCACATCCCGTCTTGAATTATATATAATAAACAGAAAAAGAAGATTTCCCTTTACTGAATCTTCTATAAGGTAAGCTCTTTCTAACAACAGTTTTCAAATTATTCTGCCTCAGTTTCATTAAGTGATCTGTCAACCAACTAACATTATAGCTTAGTTAGAAAGCCAGTAAATTATAGTAGTTTTATGCACTGACACTACTATAACTGGCACTGACAATAACATAGCATTACTATAATTGGCCCTGATAATAACTAACAGTACTATAAATGTCAGATATAATAATTAACACTACTGTGCTTGATGCTGACAATGATAAATGCAACTAAACATGGCAGAAACAAAATCCACCAAAGTTCTAATGCATGTTAATATTTTGTATTCTAAATTGTATATCTGAAATAAATATAAATTAGTTTCTATACTGCTAACAACCCTACCAAAAAATAAACGTCTGCCAAGACTTCAAGAGCCAAAAGTACATATGTAAGTAATAAATTTCTTGTTTTTATGTATATCTTTTTGCTTAATGTTATAAAAGTAATTGAAATGTAAAAACTATAAAGTTAGTTTAGATAAGAAAGCTTAAGTAAAAAAAAACATTCAAGGTAGCATGCACATATCACAAAGCATGATTGTAATTTGGTCATAAATGCTGGTAACTCAATTCTTTGTTTACACAATCTTCCTCACTGTAACAAATGGCTTTCATCATGCAGCTGTAAGAAATAAATCTGAGCTACTTCGAGATTTGAAAAATATTAGTTGTGGCTGTAAAAATACAAATAAATAGTGTGTAATTACCTGTTAAAATATAAAGTCATTCTAGAAGGAAAAAAGATAATTTATACTTCTTACAAAATTTTTATTTTACCCTACGTTGCTGATTTTGGTGCAGTTGGTGTAAAGGTACAGAAACTAACACAAAATATAAAGTTCTACTAAAAACGTTTTTAATATTCAGATAGGAGGATCTAAAGGTTCTACAAATGATTTATGAAACTAAGATCAAAAAAGTATTTTCATTCTTAACATGAAAATCACATTACACTCAGACTGATTCAGTAAAGGCTTCTGAATTGAAAATCACATTGCACTCAGACTAACTCAGTAAAGGCTTCTGAATTGAAAATTACATTGCACTCAGACTGATTTAGTAGAGGTTTCTGAACTGAAAATCACATTGCACTCAGACTGACTCAGTAAAGGCTTCATAAATTCAGACACACATCTATATTGAAAATCTGATTTTTGTGTACAACTTGTAATATTTACTAAAGACTTGCCAAATTTAATGAAGATACACAACATAGTTAGATCAGAATTATATCATGTATAGTTTCATTGTTATGTAGTGGTTACAAGGTTGGTCAAACTGACCAAACCCATAGATGAAAGCTAAGTTCACCACTATTATAATAACAAGACTTAAACCTTAGTTCTCAGTTTTGTGAAATCACAGATGAACCTTAATTCTAAGTTAAATTTAGGTCTAACGTATCACTAAGAGTACATCTAGCACTGTCTTAACCCTAGGTGACAGGTCTGTAAAATTCTAGGTCTAACGTATCACTAAGAGTACATCTAGCACTGTCTTAACCCTAGGTGACAGGTCTGTAAAATTCTAGGTCTAACTTGTCACTAGAAATACACCCAGCTTTGTCTTAAGACTAGGTGACAGGTCTGTAAAATTCTAGGTCTAACTTATCATTAAAAATACATTCAGCTTTGTCTTTACACTAGGTGACAGGTCTAACTTATTAGAAATACATCCAACTTTGTCTTAATGCTAGGTGACAGGTCTGTAAAACTCTAGGTCTAACTTATCATTAGAAATACATCCAGTTTTGTCTTAACACTAGGTGACAGGTCTGTAAAACTTTAGGTCTAACTTATCACTAGAAATACATTCAGCTTTGTCTTAACACTAGGTGACAGGTCTGTAAAACTTTAGGTCTAACTTATCATTAGAAATACATCCAGCTTTGTCTTAACCCTAGGTAACAGGTCTAACTTATCGTTAGAAATACATCCAGCTTTGTCTTAACACTAGGTGACAGGTCTAACTTATCATTAGAAATACATCCAACTTTGTCTTAACCCTAGGTGACAGGTGTTTGTAAAATTCTAGGTCTAACTTATCATTAGAAATACATCCAGTTTTGTCTTAACACTAGGTGACAGGTCTGTAAAACTCTAGGTCTAACTTATCACTAGAAATACATTCAGCTTTGTCTTAACACTAGGTGACAGGTCTGTAAAGCTTTAGGTCTAACTTATCACTAGAAATACATTCAGCTTTGTCTTAACTCTACGTGACAGATCTCTAAAATTCTCAAGTATTCCTTACCCCTAAAGTGACAAGTCCTAAAGCCAAGCCTGCAGACAAGGCATAACTTTCCCTGTCCACACAATGTTCCATCTCTGGCCCTGGTGGACGACCAATCTCCCCAAGTAAAACTTCTGCCATGTGGCGATGTGCTGAACCTTGATAAAGAAGTCCAATACCTAGGACTGATGCAACCTGGACCATGGGAGGAATGTCCAACTCAGTGGAGGTTGGTGGAAGAAGTGCTTCCACATGGATGCTCATTAACTTTGTAACAGCAACATCCATGCTTCCTCGTCTGTATAAAAAAAAACATTTTTAAACAAGTAATTATTTGTAATAAATTACACAATTGTAACATGTCAAAGAATTAAACATATCTTTATTAACAGGAAAAAAATAACAATGTGATAAAATCCAACAAACAAAAATTTCTATTATAAGAGTAATGAATTGCTAATTAATAAAATTATGACTAGAGAGAGTACAGATTGTAATTGTCACCTTTATAATGTATTAACCAAGCAGAATTGATAAGAAAAACGTTTTTAAAAGTTTAATCATAAACAAATCAAGAGCATCACACCATTAAAACAACATGGTCTCGTATAATTTTCTGAAGAAGATAATAAGCCTACGATCTTTCTTTACCTTAACTCATGTTAAACTCCCAATCAATCTTTCCACAGCTAATCAGTTGTTATACTTCTAATTCATGTCATTATATTCTTTACAAAAATCTAAGAGACTACACTTTACTTCAGTATTTATAATGTAATATTATTTAATAAAATATAGGTCAGAATAATCGTATGTAACATTGGCTCAACATAACAGTGCTACAAAAATGCCTTTTATAGCATACTATAAAGAAACAGATTTCTGTTACTTCAAAAGAAAAATATTCATTCAGTTAAAGGTACAAGTATCTTACTTTCAAGCAAAAAATGTCTTTTCTATAAAAATAAAATTACTGTGATTAGGAAAGAAAACTATTAAAAGCAGTCAGAAGACTACAATACACACTTAGCTGCAGCTATTCCTAGAAGAAGTCCAACACTGGTAAGTTGATGTCCCTTAATAAACAAACAAAAATTAAATTATAAAAGCTGAGATCATAACTTAACAAAACGAAAAATTCTAATTACCTACAAAGTTTGAAATATTTCATTACTCCTCATATTATCAGCCCAAAAAAAATAAAAAATCAGTTTGGTTTGGTTTCAGTTTTGCACAAAGCTACACGAGGGCTATATGCACTAGCCATCCCTAATTTAGCAGTTTAGTAAAAGTATCTTGGTACCTTGAGGTGTTGGTTTAGAGTAGGGCTATTTTGTTCAATTAAGAGAGATTCCTCTATTCTGTGTTTGTTGATGTTTGGTTCTTTGTTTAAAATTACAGTGTTTTGTATAGATATAGTGTGGTTTTTGAATTGCAATAGTGGTAAACATGGGAGGGTTATTTATTATGTTTGATGAACCTGGTTTCCAATTTTCTTCCAGTTTCTCTGATGTAGAATTCTGGACATTTATTGCATGTTATTTTATAAACAATGTTGGTATTGTGTGATTATATGTAATAGTGGGATTGACCACCATGTTATAATGCTTCCACAGCTGAAAAAGGTGAGCACGTTCAGTGACGGGGGTTCAAACTAGCGACCCTCAGTAAGAAAGATCAGACAGTAACAACTTAAAGAAATGAAACAAATGAATTGTATATATTTATTTAGTAATAAGTAAACATCATTTAAAATTTCTAACAGTCAAAATCTAATCCCCAAAGACTTCATTTCACACTTTCATTATATCCAAAGTTTATAAAAAAAAATATCTAATCATAAAACACTTCACAAATTGAAAAATTAACCATTTATACTAAAATTCCTAAAATATAACAAATAAACTTCAAGTGCTTACAAATATTAAATAAACACGTAAATTTGCAAGTTATTTTCTTGTACTGAAATTTGAACAATAAAAAGAAATGTTTACTAGAACAACTTATAAAGGCAGAAATGAATAAGAAAACTTCAATACCTTGCATAAGTAATCATGGATACTCATGGTGGACAGGTTCTTAAGATGACCATTTAATCCAAGAGCCAATAGAAAACCAGCATGTTCTGTGGGAGTGTCATTGCTGGAAGTCTTGGGTTTGTTATACAAGATCCAGGTGGAATCAATCTAATAAAATGAAAACAACTGATGAAACAACTCTCATGCAGTTGATTAAACAAACTTGGATTATTCTGTAGGCAGTAAAAAATATAGTAAACTGACAAACAATAATTTATAAGCATAATGAAAATTATGTTATGTAAAGAAGATTTCAAAAGAACATTGGTTGATCTACCTGACAAAAATGGAACAATATTATGTTGAAACATATACAGTGTTTTCTATTCTTCATTCTGTTTATAAATAGTTGTTTGTCAATTTACTATTGTACTAATACAATGTATACTATATATAATGTACAGAGATATCTCAAAAGTAAATAGACACCATGATTTTTTTCAATAGTCATTTATCTCACATTATCAACTTGACAAAAATGTTTACAAATGTGCATCAGTACTTAGTCGATTTGCCACTAGCATTTTTCAGTGCTTTGACTCGTTCTGGCATGGAATCGATAAGTTCTGCAATTTTTCTCCTATAGGATCTTCACCTAGGCTGCACGCTAAACATCAAGTAGCTCTCCACGGGACTCTGGTTTTCTGGAACTTCTTCTCACTGCTCAAGCATGCTTGATGGGGTTCGCATCAGATTACTGACTTGGAGCCGTTGGATGCCTTTCGTAATTAAATGACTATTGAATAAACATCATGGTGTCTATTTACTTTTGAGATGTCTCTGTATATATGACTTCTTGTTAAACATCTTTTATTTTAAACTACTGGACTGCTAGCTAAATCTTTATTCTTGTTTGTTAGTGATTACATCTTTCTACACGTAAAAACAAAATCCCATAAAGCAGTGGTTCTCAATCTCTATTCCATGGGCTCCCTTCATATAGTTCAGGGAAAGATTGCATAACTGTGGAATAGAAACAGCAGCATAATCTAACAAGATCATTGTGGTCTGTCAAGGTAAACAAGAACATTCAGGTTATTTGCAAACAAAGGTTGAAGAACCACTGCCATAAAGAAAGAAAAATTACAATAAAATTCAAATAGAGTCACATATGTCAGTCATTATAGTTTTTTAACTCACTAATGATAAATTGATTACTACAACAATTTATTTTTACTCTTAGATATTTTGCTAATTTGATATTTGTGATATTACATCATATTCCACAAACAAAAAATTTAATTGACAAATATTTACAAAAAGTTCTTCATTATAATCTGACTAATGCTTTAAAGAAATCAAAAATAGTAAAGATATGAACATTACAACTAGTACTACACCCATAACACAGCAGTTATGTACAGCTGGTTAAACTTTTGATATGAAATATTACAACACAATTACAAGTAACTCCTTAGCAGTTTTGCACTTGGTAGAAACAAATAACTTTCATGGATAATTACAAATAAAGGAAATAATTTTTACATTTGAAGCACTACTTGAAACTCTGAGACCTGCAGCAACACCATTGTGAAAAAGAGGCCAGGTACTCATATTTGCTGGAACATCAATGTGTGAGAGATCAATGGTAGTGTTCCTGTGAAAACAAATTTGTTTTAAAGTTCCATATAAAAAAACAACAACTGTATTTTACAAGATCACTTACAGCTTATGATTTTCAAGCTTACATAATATCTTATAAACATTTGTATACATTATTTTTAAAGTCATTATGCGATAAAATTAATCGTATACATTTCCTGTCTTATTTACGATAAGCCAAACTTTAGCAACAACATGATTTCAATCACTATTTCTGAAAATCTTCTTAAGTCATGAAAAATAGAACTGCTGACTAGAATAACAACAACAAGAAAACAAATCAAGAAATATAATTTCTTGACCTAAACATGTAAAACCATATGTTAAAAAATAGCCATTAGTAGAATGGTTGATCTCCACTGACCATTAACTTTTTGTTTGGTTTTGGTATGTTGATAAATGATTTGTTTTTTGGTGAACATATTTTCTTTTTTTTGTTTTTAAAATAGTGATCTAGATCTTAGACTTTTTTAATACCAAAACCAATAGTATTGTTTCCAAGTCCAAAAGGACATGACCTGTGGAGTTTGATTAAAATCTGCTATTTAGAACTCTAGTCATCACACAGAAGTAGGTGCCTAGAGATCAGCAGATGATGAAGTGTTGGTTCAATAACAAGAAAGGCTTTCTCAGGTTTTTATTATATATAAAGAATTTAATTATTATAAAACCCATCTAATATTACACGATTTTTTCATTCAAATGTATTTAACCACTAAAACTTAGAGTAAGCACCTAGGTCCAGGGGCTTTTCCTGTCAAACATAGCTTTGTTATGGGTAATGCTTCTGTGACAACAGGTTGAGTGTACGATCCCAAGGTAAACATCCCTCTGCAGAAAATAAAAGAATACACAAGGATATTTCATGTTTTTTTTAAAAAAAGAACCATGCAGTTACAACTAACCATTTTAAAACTTTCACTGTAAGTTTACCACAACATCAATGCAAAATATACTAGTAATAACAACATGGTTTGTAAGATGTGGTAAAAATCAGATTACCAATAATAACAACATGGTTTGTAAGACATGGTAAAGCTCAAATAACAGTAATAACAACATGGTTTGTAAGACATGGTAAAGCTCAAATACCAGTAATAACAACATGGTTTATAAGACTTGGTAAAGCTCAAATATCAATACTAACAACATGGTTTATAAGACTTGGGAAAGCTCAAATACCTGTAATAACAACATGGTTTATAAGACTTGGTAAAGATCAAATACCTGTAATAACAACATGGTTTATAAGACTTGGTAAAGATCAAATACTTGTAATAACAACATGGTTTATAAGACTTGGTAAAGCTCAAATACCAGTAATAACAACATGGTTTATAAGACTTGGTAAAGCTCTTTACCAAGTCTTATAAACCATGTTGTTATTACTGGTATTTCAAGTATTTGATCTTTACCAAGTCTTATAAACCATGTTGTTATTACAGGTATTTGATCTTTACCAAGTCTTATAAACCATGTTGTTATTACAGGTATTTGAGCTTTCCCAAGTCTTATAAACCATATTGTTATTACTGGTATTTGATCCATGATTTATAAGACTTGGTAAAGCTCAAATACAAGTAATAACAACATGGTTTATAAGACTTGATAAAGATCAAATACCTGTAATAACAACATGGTTTATAAGACTTGGTGAAGCTCAAATAACAGTAATAATAAGGTTTATAAGACTTGGTACACATCAGTTTCTCACAATTTACTAAAAAATGTCTGCACAGTACATTAAATCAGAAATAATATACATTATTTCACTTTAAAATTATGCCAAAAGGAAAAAATAATATTTCAATAAGTCAAAGCCTAATCTTTGATATTTTTTATCTACAGATGATTAAGATCATTTAATTTTAATAACAGAATTTATTTGAAAAAACAAAACAAAAAACATTTGATTAAAAATCTTTCATACAGTTAAAGATCTTTGCAGTTGAACACCATCAGAATGGTATTTAGAAACAACACAAATATTGTAAAACTGTTATGCTTTTCATGATTAGCATTCTACCAGCATTATTTTATTTAATATATAACAGAAAAACTAAGATTTCTTTTAAAAAAAGAAAGCAACTAAAATTTAAAAAATATAATAAAGTTCAGAATAAATTACTATTACATAATTTTAACAATTCAGACTTAGTTTGTAGGAATTTTATCTAGAGAGACAAAGTACAAACAAAACATTGTACTTAAGTTTCTGTATTTATGACAAAAACTACTAAAGCTAACTTTGAACTACTGATCAAATAAAATGCTGCTAGTCAGCAGCACTCTATCACCCACCATCCTTGCTAAAAGATTGACTGTCATTCTTATAATGCATCCACAGCTTAATGTGGGGAATATTGTGTTATCTCAGAGATTTGAAGCTGGCTTGCTCGCTAAGAAATTCAGAACTCTACCACAGGGCTAGACTACAACCACTGTACTTAAAACCATAGAAAAAAAATATTTTATAGGTTTAGCAAAGAACATGAAAATTAAATCTTGCTCAGTGGTGATATGTGAGTTAAGCCTACAGTAATTTCAAAAATATTTTGGAGTGACCAAGATAATAATAATCCATATTCTCAAAAACAACTGGCCTACATGCAGATGAATGATGCCTGACAAATGAAAACAACTGATCTTGCTCAGTGGTGATAAGTGAGTTAAGCCTACAGTAATTTCAAAAATATTTTGGAGTGACCAAGATAATAATAATAATCCATATTCTCAAAAACAACTGGCCTATATGCAGATGAATGATGCCTGACAAATGAAAACAACTGATATTAACAAAATAAGTATAAGAAACAAACCTTCCCACTGGTAAAGCCATCGTCCGTATACAAATAGAATAAAGATGGCGCTGTTGTTCCTCAATAAACTCATGGTCACTGAAAAAGTAACACAATGAAATATAAATATACAATAGTAGAGAAATGACTGAAAATAAAACTAGCTTGATATGCTTTCAAAATTAGTACAGGTTATCACAGAATGACATGGTTTTGGGATAGATGGATCTCTTACTTTCTCTGCAAAATGACAACTTTAGAGTCTAAAAGTCAGTCACATGAAAAATAATAAGGAATAAAAATCAGTAATTCTATATTATAACTATGTTATATAACTTTGTTTTGTTTGTTTGTTATGAATTTCACACAAAACTACATGAGGGCTATCTGCGCCAGCCGTTCCTAATTTAGCAGTGTTAGACCAGAGGGAAGGCAGCTAGTCATCACCACCCACCACCAACTCTTGGGTTACTCTTTTACCAATGAATAGTGGGATTGATCATGACATTATAATGCCTCCACAGCTGAAAGGGAGGGCATGTTTGGTGTGACAGTGATTCGAACCCACGACCCTCAGGTTGCGAGTCTAGTGCCCTGATGACCTGGCCATGCCAGGCCACTTCTTGTTTTGAAAATCAAAAACAATTTAATGAAACAGATGATAACTTACATTAAAAATAATAAAATTACAATGTATGTATATCTTATAACAAAAGTGTCACAAAAGTAGTAAATTCCAATTATAAAGAGCAAGTACAAAAAATGTAGACTTAAACATTTTGCAAATTTGTTTACACTACTAAAAACATAGTGTTGTACCATATTCTACCAATGGGCAAGTTCTATCAAATTATTTGGTGAAAATGATGCAAAGTCTAGTCTAAATAGTGATAAAGTAATTTATTTCTTCTATAATGTTTGGCACAGATTATGTTCACTTTTATGCAAGTTGTAGGCCTAAGTTTACAAACAACGTTTTCACTTTCAATAAAAACTGTGATAATGATGTCACCTACATCTATCTGACAAATACGAAACACAGTTGCAGAATTTTCTTGCTAGTTGATTGAACTGAACAAACAAAATAACTCACTTTTTTAGCACTGAACTCATTAAATCTCCACAAACTGATTATTTGTATTTATAATTTATTCCTGTTTCTACAAATGCCACAAAATTTCTAGAGTATTACATCATCATGAACTTTCTAGGTATTTTATGACTACTTTATTAACTTTCCAGATCTAACATCATTACAATGATTAGTAGCTCCCTCTAGTAAACAACTAAATTATAATATTGAATTTCTAGTTTATGACATTAACTTCATATATTATGTACTCAAAAAATCATATAAATGACTTTAATACTGAACACAGACTCCTCAAAACATGATTAATTTATAAGTTACAAATATTACTACCTCACTTCTGGACGTTGTTGAATGACAACAGAAACTGGCTTGGAGGACTGAAGCAGTCGATACACTTCCTGTACTCGCTGGTCTTCACCAAACCTTAGCCTTAGTACCTGTGAATGATGTTTAAAATACTTTTCATTATAGACAAAACAAAAAACAAACAATATCTTACATGAGCATCAGAAAACATTTTTCACAGTTATATTGTATCTAAACAGTTATTCCAGACTAAAATGACTATAACAGTTCTGCATACATACAAACATTTTTAGAAAAAGATGAAATTTTTGTTACTGTTCCCTAATTATCAGTTATTACACATTCACACTTTTAATTCCTATAATGGAATTAATAAAAAATACTACTTTATAACAAGCACACAAGAATCCAACAACATTAACAAAACATCCTAAACTTTCACAATAATAGTTAAATTTTGTCTACCTCATTATCTAACTGATCCAGCCCACCTTCCTCATCCTTACTAACTGGATGCTTAAACATTCCTTTAACAGACACAGCTGAAGACAGCCTGACTTGAGGAACTGTTCCACTAGCAAGAGTAGCAAGATCCTGTCTTCCTAAAAGGAAATGTTCTGATTAATATAATATGTATGTTTATTAAATACAAATAGCTGGGGACAATTCAGGTTTAGGAACTAGTCCACCAGCAAGTCATAAGATCCTGTCTTCCTACAGGGGGATGTTCTGGTTAATATCATAGGTATGTTTATGATATCTTTATTAAACACAAATAACTGGAGATAATTTAGCTTCAGGAACTCCTCCACCAGAAAGGGTCACAAGTCCTGCCTTCCTACAAGAAAATGTTATAATTAATATTGTGGAAATCACTTTTTTTTTAATTCTCTCGCTAGGTATCAAACATGTCACCTCCCAGGTACCATACAAGTGCTCTACCAACTGAGCTAGAGGGTTAATCTACTACTTCTAACTAATAGGGCTCATTTTTATTTAATAATTGAAACTACCACAAAACAAAAGCTCTGTTTAAACACTTAGTCATCTTGCTGAATACTTAAGGAATCATTCCACAACAAGAATAACAAATTAGGCAATACTATAGCTTTCCCACATTAATAAATTTATACCAAAAAAAGATTTTGATGAAAGACAGAAAGCTTCTAATGGTTTATTTCCAGGATGCACATGTAAAACTACAAAAATAGCACCAAGAACCCATTAAAAGTACAAATCTCCTTTAGATGTATTAACATGGCACTCTAGACTGATATTTGACCATAAAAATATAATGTATCAGGATTTGTTGCCTGGAATGTGGGTCCTCAATACTTCATATAAACACATCTTGGAACTTATCCCCTAAAATGTACAATTTAAAACATTACACTACACAGACATGCCAACTGAGGACTTATCTCCTGGTATGTTGGATTTCACACATTATACAAACATCACTTTGGAGGTCAACTCCTTGAATGTTGGACTTGTTCAACTTTACAGAGATGAAGTTATATTGGTTTGGGTCTTACCTATCAAAATGTAGGATTCAATAGGGAGATCAGGAGGAGGATTCTTTCGACAACAGACAATTACATGTTGTATTGGAAGAGCAACACCTGTTGGCAGAGTATTTATGTCTTGACACGTCATACCTGAAGTAAGCAAATAAATCTAATTGTAGGTATTAGTTTTGAAATAAATTTTGAATCAAATTTTTATCTAATTAAGATAAAAAAAAGCAGTTTTGAAATTCTAAAATTTATCAAAATTACATAATAGTTGACAGATAAAAAACAGGAGTCTGATTTTGCAAACAGTTGTGCAAAGCTAGAATGAAATCCAAATAGTCTTTGTATACTCTAAACTTAAAATTATTCAAATTCAATTTTAATACAACTCTTATATCTTTGATCAGTAGTTACACAGTTTATGAAGTATTTGATATGTATTTTTGTATTCATGACTAGTGATTACATAAAGCTTCTCAAGTATCTGATGTGTATTCTTGTATCTGTCATCAACAATTACATTAGTTTTTTTGAACATAGGTTCAAGAACTTGAAAGTTTCATTTTCAGCTTTTTTTTTAAATCCTTTAACTTGTTTTTTGATTTCAAAACAAACAGCAGCACAGCCATTTTAAAGTAAATAACTCTTGTACACTAAACAAAAATCTTAAAACCTCAGAGATAAATGATGTTGTACAAACCTAGTTCTTTCATAGCCTGGATGACTTTCTGAGAAACTGTCATGTTTGCATTCAGAGAAATAACTACTTCTTCCATAACCCTCTGTCCTGTGAAACGAGTTTATTCCTTTTAACCTATCTAATGTACATATCAAAAACTCTAAATAATACTTGTAAAAAAACTCTCATAAATAATAACTAATACCATATACTTAAGGGAAAATTTAAAGTTTATGTATTTTAACCCTATTGCCACAGGCATCATTTACTACGCATGTCATAAGGTTTTAGTAACTTACATTTAATGTTTAATTAAACAATTTTTTATTTTTATTATAACAAATTGTGAGAGTTAGTGGAAAATGTCTGCTTTTTTGCATCTTAATATTCTATGTTCTTTGGTGCATTATTTAATGCATTACTACCATTAGTATAGAAAAAGTAGGGTCAAGTGTCATCAACAGTTGACAGCAAAGAAAAGAATAAATCAGGTAAGTACTTTATTTCTTATTTTTCATGTTTATTCTTTATTTATTATTCTAAAAGTAACTAAAATGTAAAAATAGGGGTCTCTTTAGGTTAGATTAGGTGAAATAAATAGCAATAATATAATAAAAACGTTTCATGGCACACACACACGAGCAGCTCGGAGTGGCTTGTGGGTAATGTAATTCAATAGTGTAACATGAGTTGCACATTCCCCAAATGACTTACAACTTATAATGGCACGAATAGTAGTTAGACATGGTTCAAAGGGCAATAAAACAATAAAATTTTATCAGAAATAGATGTATACTGTTACAAGTTTAAAGCCACTTAGGATAAACAAATGTAGTTTCATGTTACAATTTGAAGTCATTCTAGAAAGAAAAAAGTGTAATTTTGGTTTATTTAGATTTTTTTTAGTGCTTACAAGGTTGGTCAATTTGACCAACCTTGTACAGAGTTAGGGTAGAGAAAATAACATAAAATATAAAGTTTTATTGAAAACAAACATTCCAAACGTATTTAGAAGGTTTTAGAGATTATACAAATGATATTTGAGATGAAATATTTTTAATCTTAATATGAAAATAAATTTGCATGCATGCAGACAAGTAAAAAAAATACTCAATATATTCACTGATAAATCTTTTTTTAGTTTATTAAAAATACGATTTTTTGTATGTGAAAGACTTATAATGTTTACTGAAAGTCTGCCAAATTTTGTGAAGATATACATACTATATTAAAAGTTAGCAGTACCAAAACTATAAAGACTTTAAAAAGGTACAAAGAGGTCATGTGGTCGGTCAAACTGACCGAGCCTGTATTGAGTTTTCAAAGATGGTGTTAAAAGTATTTTCTCAAATGCACCATGCAAAATTCATTCCCATTTCCCAGAACTGTACCAAGTTATTGAAGTTAAAATAGCATGAGAGTTAATATGCATGTCCAAACAATAATTGAAAACAACTTTTAAAAACTTTGAAATATTTTCCTTGTCTCAAGATAAATAATATAAAAACTGATAAAACAGTCAACCTTCATACACTGTAACTTTAATTAATTAATTAACTTTAATTAACACTGCATTAATTAATTAACATCAATCCTTTAAGTATAGCCTTTTGAAGAAAATGTTATTACTTCTACTAATTTGTTATTATCTACACTAAATTAGCAATATTTGTGTTTTACAAATATAACCTTTAACATTTCTTAAAGCTAAGACTATGACTGTGTTAGAAATTAAATAACATTTAATTAATCCATACCAGGAGCTGAAATTTTTTGCAAGTTTCTACCCATGTGGGAGTCTGATCTTCTAGTTCTTTCAGATAATATTGAATACAACTGAAAACAACAAAAACAAAACATTCTTAAAAACAAACAAACAAAAAATTTATACATTACATTCCATTTCTGACTTCCGAATTTAGTAGAGACAATACTACAAAGCTTTAAGTTAATTTTTCTTAAGAGCTTTAACTACGACTTTTTTAATTTTGCTTATTTCTAAACTACTAAAGTATGACAGAAAAATCTATGTTGCTCATATCAGACTTCGACGCAAAAAACAGTGAATTCCCTCCCATTACTCTAGTACCTCTAAAGACAAAATAATAAGGTTATTCAAGTTGAAAATGAAACACTCCTTAAAAAAAATTTCCATCAAGTTACAGCCACATAACATAATTCACCAGAACAACTTTATAGATCTCCTGAGTAACATAAGGGATATAGGGGAATGGTTGAACATGCTTCAAAGTCAAAGATGATTGTAACCAATTGAAAATGGCAGGAGGGTTAAGAGTGAAGTACGATGGAAACTGAATCCGCTGACAGTCATCTGCAAAGAAACAGGAAAAATTATTGATAAGGCTTTAAAAAAATAGTTAATAACATTAACATACCAATGTTTAGGGACAACAAGGGACCTATTGGTCCATCTCCACTCTCATGTCCTCTAAACAAATGATGAGTACAAAAAATAAATAACTACATGAGAGAACAATGTCCTGTCATTTCATAATATTGATGAAATATTAGAGATTACTGAAGGTGTGGATCTTTTTCACACTTTACGTGTCTCTCCGACACAAAAACCGAATAGAACTAAAATTAGATATCTAATTAGAATTCTATCTTCTTAATTTACAAGGTTTCAACTCTACAATGAGAATAACATTATGACCCCATTTGTTGCAGTTATTTAAAGGATGTAAAAATTATTTTCATTTCTCATTACTTTTTTTTAGATATTTTCCTAATGGCTTCTCCATGACACTAACAATTTGTCAAAGTGTTTACAACCTCTCATAAAATAAGACTAGGACTTGTGTTAATATACATTTGAAATATCAAAACCAAAAACACTCAACTAAGGTACTTAAACAAGAAATATTTACAGATCATAATCACTTTCCTAACAATCATGACAATATGATAAATAAAGAAAAACATTAATTAAGCACAGAAACTTTTAAAAATCTCCTGTTTTATGAGTAATCGTATGTGTAAAGAGTGAATTATACTAAGTTAATGTTATAAAATGAAAAGCAATTAATTTTAATATATTTCTGATTTAAAAAAAATTGAAATAAAAATTGGAATTACTATTTTTACTTCAATTTTGAAATTTGAAATGCAAGGTGACAATGTAAAGGTGTACACCGGTTGCAATGCATATAAAACTACTACACGTTTTTATACTGTTAAACTTTTTAACTTACTTGTGAGTTTTCATTTTAACTTCACTAAAAGAACATTATTTTGGCAGGATTGTTTTTTATAATTATGACCATCTCTAAATATTGTTCAATCCTTCACAGCTCATATTTTTAAACTGTTACCAAAACATCCTTTAATATATTTCTTACTTTCTGCCAACTGTACTGAGAATTTTGTTGAGGCCATAAGCTGTGGAAAATCTCTCCAGTAATGGTCTAAATACAAGGGTAGACGAAGATCCCTGAAACAAAATTTTCATACAATATAATGATATATTCTATTTCCTCCTAAACAGTGACACCATAATGATAACAAAAAATAAGATACCCTATGGCCCAAAATGCTCGGGTTATAGGGTACCGTACGTTAACATTTTCTCACACTGAAAATGTATTTTCAATAGGTACTTACCTTCTCTCACCCAATGCTATCTTGATCTTAGTTTGCCCTCTAAGAATTGTTAAAAATTTTTGCTAACAGTGCACCAGTCAAAATTTTATACCCCTTCATTTTTGCACCATTCTAGAACATGTGCTCATCATATGACTACCCTTCACCAATCATACTGTGCCATCTATACTAACTTTTGAGAACTGGCAGGTACAAACTAGAAATGCCAGCATATCAGTGGGGAGGAAGTGGGTGAGAAAAAGTAAGTACCTATTGGAATACATTTTCGGTGTAAGAAAATGTTAATTTTGTTTGTATTAAAGGAGTTATGGAACGTTTTGCGTTTTGTACCAGTACTTCGTTCCATTTGGACGGATCATCTCCAAATTTTGTATGAACGTTCGTTGCATACTTGCGTATTTACATGCAAATTCTAGCCTTCTATTATCATTTTTGCGACTTTTGTGGTCGTTTTATGTTACTCTTTTATTGGTCTTTTCTGAAAGCGTATGTGTACTGCAGTGAAGCTTTTTGTTACTGATTGTTTTTCGATTTCTTGTTACCAGAAGGTCCTAAATTGATGATTCTTCACCAAATTTGGTTTGTAGGTACACTTTAACGTTGCGTAGTAATATGCAGA